GGATTAATCAGCAAATATTTATTATTCATATATGCTGTGGTAAGCATTGTAGGTGTAAAGAAAGATAAGGTATAGTCCCTGTTTCCAAAGGGCTTAGCATCAGTGGGAAATCAGACTGGCCAAATAGAATGGAATCAAGTAAGAAAAAGCTTTCACAAGTGCTTGAACTTGATAAAGTAATAGAAACAGCCAGCCTCACTAGGTTTCTGCACAAAGGAGTGATATGATAAAAGGAAATTAAAAGAATATGTCTTTGGGAGCACCTGGGTGGCTTAGTCGGTTAAGTATCTGCCTTCACCTCGGGTCATGATCCTGGGATCCCAAGGTTCTAGGATTGAGCCCTGTTTCAGGCTCCCTGTTCAGCAGGGGGTCTGCTTCTCCCTCTCTCTCTGCCCCTTCCCCCCCTGTTCACGTGTGTGCTCTTGCTCTCTCTCTCTCTCTCTCTCTCAATAAATAAATAAATAAATAGGAAAAAATATGTCTTTGGGGTGCCTAGGTGACTCAGTCGGTTAAGTGTCCGACTCTTAGTTTTGGCTCAGGTCATGATTTCAGGGTCGTGAGACTGAGCCATGCATCAGGCTCCACACTGAGCAGGGAGTCTGCTTTAGATTCTCTCTCTCTCTCTCTTCCCCTGTGACTCTCCCCACCCCCCACCACTTTCCATCCCTTCATTTCCATTCTGTAACTATTGCCTTAGCTCTGACTTTTAGGTCCTAGCCTATTGCAATGAACTTGTGTCAGCACTCAACCATCTCCCCATCCTACTTCCTCCCAGGCCATCCTACACACAGTCACAAGAATGTTTCTAAAGGTACAAGAGGGCCCCTTTCTGTTCAGAGGTCAAAAATGCCTCCCCTTTGACCACAAAATAGTCTGAGCTTTTTAGTGCGAAATTCAAGACCCTCCCATAAATTCTGCTGGTCTCCTTCCAGACTTGTCTCCCATTTCCTAATACGAACCTATTACTCCACCGAAATTGGGACTGCTTACTATTCCCCACACCCATTTCTGTGCTGTCCTCATATGATCACTCACCCTTACCCCATCTCCAGAGAAAAGGAGAGTCAGAGAAAACAGCTAGGAGGCTGTTGCAATAATCCAGGTGTGGGCTGCTGCCAACAGGGAGAGGGTAGTGAGTGTGAGAATGTGCAGGAGAGCTGATGGCAGCAGATCTTCCTTGATTGGACACAGGGTTTGAAAGGAAAGGGATGAGTCAAAAGTAACTCATTTTAGATTTGAGGCAGCAAACACAGTTCCTTCTCCGTAACTGTTTATTCCTCACTGTTGCAGTTGTTGGAGGGTCGTATTTATTTCATATTGCCTATAACCTGGGACCACATATAATTAATGATTTTTCTATACTTTAGGTCTAATATATATTTATTTAAAATAATACAGGCAGAGCAAAGTACTTTGGGAGGTAGAAGTCTTCAAGACACACTCTAAAATACCGTTGTGGGACTAAATATGCTGCATTTCACATAACCTATGTGCACTGAATATAATCTTTCATTTTCGTTATCAGTGTGGTTTGGAATATAAGGTTTATGAGACTATCTCATGAAAACAAAAGTGAGAAATTCAGCTGAATCTGGGTAATGGCTGGAGCCAGGCACCTCAATGAGCTCAGACCTTGGATTTCTCTAGCTCCATTTTCTTCTTAGGTGGGGTCTGCTTTCTTCTCAGTCACTCATTCCCATTCCATCTGACACAGCTCTGAGACCACGAGGCTTTACAATTTGAGAAGTTTGGGAGTCAGTACACAGGAATGACTCTAGAATCAGAGGGCTTGACTGTTAAACTAGGTTATGTCATTGCTAGCTACATAACCTGGGGCAAGTGAGTTAACCTACTGCAACTCAAGTTTCTTCAACTGTAAAATGAGAATAATATTAGTACCTGTCTCCATAGGGCTATTTTCAGGATTAAATGAGTTAATATATATGAGTTTAGATTGGTGCCTGGCATTTGGTTTAGTGCTCAGTGAATGTTAACTATTAACCAAACTATGGTTAAATTTGGAAGAACAAAGACCCTTGCTGTCTACTGCCTTAGCCAACAGGGGTCAGTATGCAGCAAGCTACACAGCTAAATAAAATGCTTAATGGGCGTAAAAAGAGATTTTCAGTTGTTTGAGGAAACATCAGGGCTTCAGAAAATTTTTGTGAAATGGTGTGAAGAAAAATAAGTAACCATAAAATTAGGCAATTGTGAGAAACATAGGAAGAGAAAAAAAGTCAAAATAATAAAAGTAAATACATTTAGAATGTCTAAAAGCAATTTAAAATGCAGAAGGACATTTTAAGTGGGAATGCTCAAAAGCAGAGGCCTTGAGAATTCATGATACAATAGAACACTATCTTGCCAACAAGAGCAGCTTGGTCACTGAAATAACCAAGTATGTAGTTCAAGTTCTACCTTGATGTTTGAGGGATGGGAGAAGGTATGTAACATCCTATTTTCCGATTACATAACAACAGTGTTATTGCTTATTGAGTGCTCACTGTTTGCCAAGTGCTTTACACACATTACCATATTTCTTTGACTTTTTAACTCGAAAATGTTGAAATATATAGAAGAGGATAGAATAATAAAGTGAATATCCATATACACATCAATCAATTGAGCATTGAACACTTTCCATATTTTAATTTTTCTAAATTAATTATCACGGGTTCCTGGGTGGCTCAGTGGGTTAAAGCCTCTGCCTTCGGCTCAGGTCACGATCCCAGGGTCCTGGAATGGAGCCCTGCATCGAGGCTCTCTGCTCAGTAGGGAGCCTGCTTCTCTCTCTCTCTACCTGCCTCTCTGCCTACTTGTGATCTGTCAAACAAAATCTTTAAGGAAAAAAAAAATATCAAACATTTTACCCCAAAATACATTAATATGTACATATAAAAATAGAGACATTGTTCTACATCAGCACGATGCTATTATCATACCTAATAAAAAAGCAATTGTTTAATATCATCTCATGCCCTAGTTCCTATTCAGATTTAATTGTGCCCCAAATATCTTCTATATCTGCTTTATTGAACCAGAACCTAGGACAAGCCATTGCATGTAGTTACTATGTCTCTTCGGTATCTTTTAATCTGGAACAGCCTGCACTGTCCAGTTTTTTTTGTTTGTTTCTTTTCGGGTTTTGTTTTTTGTTGTTGTTGTTGTTTGTTTTTTGGGGTTTTTTTGGTAACTACACTGACTTAATTTAAGAGACCACCATTTGTTCTTCATGATGTCCCACCACTTGTTCAGAATTTTTCTGATTGTTTCCTCTTGGTGTCATTTTATGCTATCCTTCTAGTTCCTGCTGAGCTTGATGATACAGAAGTGAAAGAATGTGGAGAACAATACATCACAGACAATACTGGGGCTTCCTGTTGTATCATATCAGGAGGCACATAATGTCCGATTGGTCCACTTTAGTGATTATAAGATTGATCTAGTTTAAGGTGGGAGGGACCGGATTCCTTCACTGTCATTATATTTTTCTTCTGACTACAGCTAGCAATCCCTGGGGGATAATTTGGCCCTTGGGGAGTATTCTGTTCCCTGTCACCCTTTCACCACACGGTTTCATTGATGATCCTGGCATGAATCAGTTATTTAATTAGGGGCTACAAGATAGTGATATTCGAATTCTACCATTCATCTTACATTATTTAGCTGGCATACTTTTGTAAAGAGAACCATTTCCTCATCAACTGGGGCTATTTGGTTACCTTGAAATACAGCTGTAAGTAGGAGGGCAGAATAAATGTTTAATTTATTCCTTAAATTACAACTTTTCAGGGTAAAGAGTTGCTCTAACAGTCACTATAACAAATGAGGCTTTTAAAAATTGTTTTTTATATATGGTTTACTCTTTTGGTGGGACTTTTATGTTTGACATTTTCAGTCAATTGCAGTCATCATTTTTGGTACTCAAATTGTTCTAAATTTGGCCAGTGGGCATTTCTTCAAGCTGGTTCCCATGTTCTTTTGAAAGGACCTCGTTTTCCTTGGATACTTCCAGACTTTACTGCCACAAGATGTTCCAAACGCTCCTAGTCATTACCAGCTTCTAACCTTCTACAGCATAAACCATTTCTCCAAGGAGCCCTGGAAACTTTTAGTGGAGAATGATATTTGGAGATCAAAATCTAGGTGCCAGGGATAACCACTCCCCTGAGTTCAAATTAATATTTTCATTTCAAAGTTAACAGTATAAGGTTTTATTTCTTGTTTCTATATTTTCATATCTTATTTTACATTGGAGGTTTTTGTACCTAATAACATTAACAAAATTATTCTTTAAATACTTAAACCAGCCCTATGAGATAGGGGATCATAAGTTATATGACTGTGATCATAATTTATGTTAAAATCGCTATTTTACAAGGAGGAAAGCGATGAGAGGTGCCCGAGCTTACGTGGCCAGTAAATGCCTGCGTCCGGATTTGAAGCCGGCACGCTACTTCCATCCGGAGAGTCCCAGTCATTTCGCAGGGTCGTCACCGAGGTGATCAGGGCTGAGAATGAGAGAACCAGCATGAGGAGGGAATTGGCCCGTCGTGACCGACCGACTGCTTCAAACCGGGAGGGCAGGGCGGGGGTGCGCTCCCTAACGAGCACGAAACACCTGGGAACCACACATGCACCACGCGAAGATGAGAAAACCTGGTTAGGACCCACGCGGCGCAACCCCCAAAATGAACCCACTGGTCCTGACCCGCCTCCTATGCGTAGCGCCCGCCCACCCGCCAATCATACGGAGCTTTGATCATGGGGGCGGGACAACAGAGAAGCGTGGCCAATGAGGAATCGGCTCCCGGTCGCCTTACGACTGAGTATTTCCGAGTCCTAACTGGAGAGCGAAGAGGAGGTGGCGGGCTTGGCCAATCATAAGGGGAGACTCAACATTTGGGACCGGCAGCCAATCAGAAGGCTGGTCGCAGCCGACTCGCCCGGCCCACACTTCCCGCCTTTCCGCTAACTCCAAAGACACCCGCTCGTCAGCCACCGAAGTTCGGACGGTCGCAGTATTCTCAGAGTCGCACGGCCGACCCCCGGGCCGCGCTGGTGTCGGGTGGAACATGGCGAACTCGGCCTGTGAGGACCTCCGAGGCCAGGAGGCGGAGAGTTTTCTGTACTTCGCCTACGGTAGCAATCTGCTGACCGAGCGGATCCACCTCCGAAACCCGTCGGCCGCGTTCCGCTGCGTGGCCCGCCTGCAGGTCAGTGCTGCCCGCGCGCGGCCCCTGCAGCGGCGGGTCCACCCTGCGGACATGGGGACAGGATTTCGAGAAGTCCCTTTCTCGGGGCCGGGAATGCGCCTCTTGCTGATAGGAGCACGTCGGGACTGTCTTCCCTGTCTGGCTTCTGCCCTCCTGGTCATGCCCGCCCGGCAGCTGTGCGCCCCCGGGCCGCCCTGAGCCCCCTGCGGACTTTCCTCGGGAGGCTCGTTCTGCCCAGACCTGGCCACCGCTCTTGCCCACCGACTTAGAAGGGAGTCCGTTGCTCTCTCCTCCCTATCACACCTTCGCTGCAAGGCTTGTCAGCTGGAGTTCTGAAACTCCATTCACCTGTTTTTCGCTCCTGATGGGAGAGGTCCTGAAAGCCGGCACCGTGTCGGAATCATAGTAAGGGCCGAGCTCAGTTAAGTCAGACCACTGGATGAACCATAACCGGCCTTGGTAAAAGTCACTGCTCTTCAGGGGCGCCTGGCTGGCTCGGTCGAGGACCTTGTGACCCTTGGTCTCAGGCCCCGAGTTTGAGCCACACCTTGGGTATAGAGATTACTTAAATAAAAACTTCAAAGTAATTGCTCTTCGGTACAATCCATTCATTCCTTTGGTAGATTTTTTCCCTTGTAGGTACAGAAGTGATAGAGTTAAGTGGGCTGCCTTGAGGACCTGTCCGGGTCTATAGAAGGGACACCCCCCAAAATGATGTAGAAAACCTTTTGACACTGCTGAATTAGACAGACACGGTCTCTGCTGTCCTTATCAGGTTCTTAGTTGCAAGCAACAGAAAGTGGCTGATTTAAGCAGGAAATGAATGTGTTGAAAGGCTGTTAGAGGACTCACAGAATGACCACAGAACTGATAAACAGAGGCATAAGGGTGCCTGGCTGAGTCAGTGGGTGGAGCATCTCAGGGTTGTGAGTTCAAGCCCCACTTTGGATGTGGAGACTACTTCAAAAATAAAACAAAAAACAGGCAGGCGTAAAAGGAAGTACAGCAACCACAGCAGCCAATATCACAGAACCAGCCTAGGATGCCACTGGGGCATCACTGCTTAACTTGGTAAATATGGACACTAAGTTGTGCATTACCGCCCCTGCCTTCTCTGGACCTTGCCTGCTACTGTCAGTACACCCCTGCAGTTCCTGAAACCGGGATGTAGCCACCACCTACAGGGTGGAGATTCTGCTGTTCTTGGGCACTAGCTTCTAATTCAGAGTCCCAGGTGGGTGTCCTGGTTGGCTAACTCTTGGCCACATGCCCATGCCCTGACTGCAAGCAAAGCTGGGAGAACCAACTGCTGGCATTTGAAGCCTCAGAAATGGGAGTTGGGGTCTAGCACTTTCTACCCCCAGACTCCTAAGGTAGGTAATTGCCCAAATGTGGAAAAGAAGTTCAGATACTTATAGTTGGGACAAGTGGAAGAGCTATCAAGCAAATGGTTACTGAGTTTCAGATACGGTGAGTTTAAAAAGGAGACATGTTGTACCTTCCTCTCAGTTTTGCTGTGACCCTAAAACTGCTCTAAAAAAAAGTGAGGTCTTGGGGTGCCCAGGTGGCTTGGTTGTTAACTGTCTGCCTTCGGCCCAGGTCGTTATCCCAGGATCCTGGGATCGAGCCTCATGGCGGGCTTCCTGATCAGTGGGGGGCTTGCTTCTCCCTCTCCCATTCCCCCTGCTTGTGCATGCTGTCTCTCTCTCTCTCTCTCTCTCTCTCTCTCTCTGTGTCAGGTAAATAAATAAAATCTTTAAAAAAAAAAAAAAGTGAAGTCTTTACCCCAAAAAAAGAGGAGATCTACAAGGTACTATGGGAATGTATGATTTGGGGTCCCGACTTAAGAGCTTAGTAAAGCTCTTCCTGAAAATAACGACTTTTAAGCTGAGACCTGAATGATTGGGCAGGGGGAGACAAAGAAAAGAGAAGGAACAGCACGTACAAATGACCTCAGGAAAGAAGCTGGGCCATCCAGCTGCTGTGGCTGGAGTTTAGTGTTGAGGAGGATATAGCTTGGCAACTAAAGACGTAGTGAAGGACTGTATGCTACTGGACCACAGAAGCCAAAAAAGACTGGTCTTTATCTTGAGAGCAATGAAAAGATCCATTGCAGAATTTAAGCAAATGAAATATTAGATTTACAGCTTTGAAAGCTCATTCTGGTTGCTATGGAAAATGGGTTGGAAGGGAAGACAACAGTGGATGTGGGGAGCTCAGTTAGAAAGGTTTTGTAGTCATCCATGCTAAAGATAATGGCACCTTGAAATGGAGTGGTAGCAGTGGAGGGTAGACGGGTTGGGGAGGTATTTAGGAAATAATAAGGTTAGGCCTTGGTAACTGCTTGTGAAGGGAGGATGAGGTAACAGGGGTGACTAAGGTTTTTGGTGCAATAAATTGGATGATGATGATATTTGTAAAGAGAAGAGGAGAATCAGTTTTGGAGGGAAAATCAAGCTCAGCTTAAACATACTGAGTTCGGATGCTTGTTACACATCCCAGTGAGCAGAAAAACATTAGTGAGCATTTATTAAGTACTCACTGTGTGGTAGGTCCTGTTCTAAGCACTTTTGAAGTTTAGAAGAGAGATCTGGGTTGGATTAAAAGATGATTGGAATATTGGATGGTATTTGAAGTCATCGGAGGGGATAGATTGTCTTGAGCAAATTGCTGATGAACAAGAAAAGGGGCCTGAACTAAGCCCTTAGCAACTCTACCATTTAAACACCAGGTACGGTGGAGGAGTTATCAAAGGGAATTGAGATCAGGGGACAGTCTGAAAGTCAGAAAGGAGGCAGATCAAGACAGGGTGGTTAACTGTGTCAGAAGTAGGTGAAAAGTGGAGCAAGAGGAGGAATGAAAATTGTCTGTTGGATTTAGTAGTAGACAACCAGTACCTCATGTGGTTGTGACTTTTTAATTAGCTCTCATGATGTCCTGCCAGGGCTACGTGCTCCTAGAATATCCAGTATACCAGTTGAAAATACTACTCAGACCAACCTTTTTCCTGAAATGTCTGACATTTGAAGAAAATAAAAGTGACAGGGATAAAATATAAACCTTAGATTTAGTATCTAGTCCAACCTTTTTTATTTTATTATTAAGGAAACTAAGCTCTAGAAAGATGGAAAGAAATTTTCTATACCAAATGGCCAAGTAAGGGTTTTTCATCTTCCCCAGGGTTCTCTCCTCTGATTACCCATCTCTATAGGGAAAAGCTAAGCTAGAAATCTGGCTCTGTTACTTATACATTGAGAGACTTAGGCAAGTTGCTTAATCTTTATAAGCCACAGTTTTTCTTGTTATTAAATGGGTATAATAAAGTTGTTGACAGGATAAAAATGAAAGTCCACATAAAGCTCATAGTGCAGTTATAGAACCTAGTTATGTACTAGTGTTAGCTGCTCTTATATTTATTATAGATATAATAGTATAATTCATGAATGTTAGATTAACGTTAGTAAGTTTAAAAATCACCCTCAAATGGTGCCTCCTTGGGGCGCCTGGGTGGCTCAGTGGGTTAAAGCCTCTGCCTTTGGCTCAGGTCATTATCCTGGCGGTCCTGGGATCAAGCCAGGCATGGGGCTCTGCTCAGCAGGGAGCCTGCTTCCTCTGCCTCTCTGCCTACTTGTGATCTCTGTCAAATAAATAAATAAAATCTTTAAAAAAAAAAAGATTGTGGCTCCTTGAGGGCAAACATGGTGATATATGGTAGTAGGATACTCTTTACATACATAAAAGTAGATTAGGAGTGCCTGGGTGGCTCAGACCTTAAGAAGGTCGGCTCATGGGCTCAGGTCATGATCCCAGGACCCTGGGATTGAGCCTGGCATCGGGCTCCTTGCTCAACAAGAAGCCTGCTTTTCCCTCTCCCACTCCCCCTGCTTGTGTTCCCTCTCTCACTGACTCTCTGTCAAATAAAATAAAATCTTTAAAAAAAAAAAGTAGGTCATAACCCCTATGTAGCTACCCAGCTTCAATAATTATGTGTATATACTGTGGTTGCCTCTAAGTTAAAATCCATGTGTGTGTAGGTAGACTGCAAAGCAATTTTAAAAAATGAAAATACTTATATTAAGGCATTGAGATTACAGGCTTTTTTAAAACCTGTTTATGGATGCATATTATATATTTAATATACATTTCAATTTAAAAATATGAAAAAATATAGTCCTTGAGATCTGGGTCGTTGTTTATCTTTGTATTTTTTACAGCTTCTTATTCAGAGAAGGAACTCAAAGTTTATGTCTTAACTGCATGGAGTTCAAGGTAAATTTTTTTATTTTGAAGAGGGAAATTTTGGTTCAAGTAGATATTGATCATATTATTTTGGTTTCCTTTGTAGGATTATAAGCTTGACTTTGGCAATTCCCAAGGCAAAACAAGTGAAACTTGGCATGGAGGTATAGCCACCATTTTTCAAAGTCCTGGCGATGAAGTATGGGGAGTAGTATGGAAAATGAACAAAAGCAATTTGAGTTCTCTGGATAAGTAGGTGGCTTCTAATTACAAGTTAAACAATAACTGATTCAGAAAGTGGATCATATTCAAAGATGTGTATATATACGTCTTTCAAAACCATATACTATATTCTTTACACTTCAGAGTTAACATAAAAAGTGTAATGTGCATATCTGAGGAAAAAAAAACCTAGGGGTGCCTGACTGGCTCAGTCTGTAGAGCATGCAACTCTTGATCTCAGGGTTGTGAGTTCAAGCCCCACACTGGGCATAGAGCCTACATTTAAAAAAAAAAAAAATGCCTAGCAGGGTCCTATATTCCCGTTGAGATTTGGGAGATGTTTATAATCTCTTCTTTTTGTTCTTTCTTTTTTTTTTTTTTAATTAATTAATTAATTTACTTGGCAGAGCTGGGGAGACAGTGAGAGAGGAAATACAAGCAGGGGGAGTGGGAGAGGGAGAAGCAGGCTTCCCACTGAGCAGGGAGCCCAATGCAGGGCTCGAGCCCAGGACCCTGGGATCATGACCTGAGCAGAAGGCAGATGCTTAACAATTGAGCCACCCAGGTGCCCCTATAATCTCCCCTGTAAAAAACGGAGTCTTTATTTTTGTTCTATTTTTTTTAATTTAAAAAATCTTTGTAGTTTCATATTGTGAAAAGGCATGAAGATGTTTGTAATTGTTGCATCTTTCTGTTGGTTTCAAAAGCAGTTCAACTTTTATTAGAGTCAGTTTTTAGAAAATAATTCTTTAAGGCAGCAGTTGAAAAACTAATAATTTATAAAAACTTTGACAACATATTAGAAATATCTTGATACTTTTTTTAACGGAACTCTCAAGATCTGTGTAGCAGAGCATGTATACAAAGAAAGTTGGCAGAAAAGAGTAGGGCTTGAGAAGAACACATTATCTGATATGTCCCTGGTGAATGAGAGTGAGCCATTCTCTCTAATTATCTCCTGGTGGATATTCTCTTGTTGTCAGAACACACAGTCAGTTTTTTGTACCTAGAGAGCAATGTTGAGGGGTACAAAGATTGAAATAACTATATTCAAGCATGGGTTTAAATAGGATAAATACTGAGATCTATTAGAAGTATACAAGTAATACTAAATCTGAGGCTTTCCAATTGAAATGCTGTTTACTTTTGACGTGGTAATATTTATAATGTGTTCTACCATATCCCAGAATACATAGGGAGCAAGTAAATCCATATATTGTTAAATTTTTAGCCCAGTAAACTAACTTGACTAAGTCAAATATGTTTAAAATTTGGCTGTTCTGGTTTCAGGCAAGAAGGAGTTAATAGTGGAACATATGTCCCAATAGAAGTTAATGTTTATACTCAAGAAGGAAAAGAAATAACCTGTCGAAGTTATCAGATGAAAAATTATGAGAGTGCTCCCCCATCCCCCCAGTATAAAAAGGTAAGCAACTTACAAAGACTATTGGCGGTTCCTTTTTAATTTTCACTGAGCTAAACTAAAAAATACCTTGTTTTAAAAAGAATTAGTGTGCATTAAATTCTACATGAACACTTCAGTCTTTTTTGCCTGCCCTACCCCTTGAACACTTAATCTAAGTGTTTTTAATACAAAAATGATAGTTATTTACCTAACATGCAAATTGAAAAATGTTCAGATTTATTTGTAATGATAGACCCATATTCCTAAAACAGATTTATCTAAAAAGACTCTGGAAGTCTATTTGAGTCATATGTGTTTTGATATGTGTTTTCTTTCCTCAAGTAGAATATAACATGTATGCATGCATTTTTAGTGGATTTATTCTATACATAGGTTTTTGTAATCATTTTTTCTCCACAAGAGAGTATTTCATAACACTAAGATTCATTTTTATGGGGGAGAAATATATTTCCTATTGCTGAAATGCTTTCCATCCCTAGAGAAAGGGAAGAGAGTCATGCTTTCTTTCAAAGTCAGAGATACCACTCCCACAAGCATAGGAAAAGGATGTGGGATAGAAACCCCAACATCCCTTTTTAGAAATCCAAATTTAGTTACTTTGGAAGGCCTAATCAGGACATGGCACGTGGAGTGGATGACCCAGTTCCTGGGCCAAATTTGGAATTTTCTAGTATTGAGCCTAGAGGAATTAGCCTGGTTTGGGTCTGGGAAGCACCACTGAGCACAGCTGCCATGTATTACCTCATTTCCCATCAGAGGTAGAGTAGACTCCCAGGTTAAACTAAAACTTCTCCCTATAAACTTTACAGTTTTTTTAAAGAATGGTGTTTTTTTCTTACTAGATCATGCCAGTTCTCTACAATAAGTTTTTGTCTTACTATAAAAAAATTTTAAATTAGAATGACCAGAATAAAAAACACAAGAAATAACAAATGTTAGCGAGGATGTGGAGAAAAAGGAACCCTGATGTGATTGATGCTGGTGGGAATGCAAGCTGGTGCAGCCACTGTGGAAAACAGTGTGGAGGAGCCTCAAAAAATTAAAAATAGAGCTACCCTATGATGCAATAATCACACTACTGGGTATTTACCCAAAGAAAACGAACACATTAATTGAAAAGATGTATGCATCCCTGTGTTTACTGCAGCATTATATACAACAGCTAAGATATGGAAGCAGCCTAAGTGTCCATCCATAGTTGTGGCTAAATAAGACGTGGTATGAGGGTATTTATATACATATACATACATACAATGGAATATTATTCAGCCATAAAAAGAGAATGAGATCTTGCTATTGACAGCAACATGGATGGACCTAGAAGGTATCATGGTAAGTGAAATAAATCAGAAAGGCAAATACCATATGATTTCATTCATATGTGGAATCTATGAACAAATAAATGAACAGACAAAAAATGCTTGACTCTTAAATACAGAGAAAAACTGGTGGTTATCAGAGGGAAGGTGAGTGGGAGGGATGAAATAGGTGAAGGGGAATAAGACCACACTTACCATGATGAACACTGAGTAATGTAAAGAATTGTTAAATCATTATATTGTACACCTAAAACTAATATAACACTGTTAATTATACTTCAGTTTTTAAAAATATTTTAAACCATGTTATTGAGTAAAATTGATCTCCATAAGAATGTGTCATGTGGATTTGAAGACTGCACGTTCATGCTCACCATGAGAGGAATGGCTGTCTCTATTTTGTTCTATAATTGTTTATTCTAGAGTTATCTGAAAGCTAACAGGTCATGCTTTGATATTGCACATAAAATTGTGGTATACTAATTATGTTCCTAATTAAAAGGTGTTTTTTGTTTATTTTAACCATTTTTAGGTCATTTGCCTGGGTGCAAAAGAAAATGGTTTGCCACTGGAGTATCAGAAGAAGTTAAATGCAATAGAACCAAATGACTACAAAGGAGGAGTCTCAGAAGAAATTGAAGACATTATCAAAAAGGGAGAAACAAAAGCTCATTAGGACATAATATTTTAGATAGAAATCTAAATTATAATAGAAAATACAGATACTCTCTGTATGTGCTAATGTATTTTTAACATTTAGAAAAGAGATCTGAGGTATGTCTATGTTTAATATATTTTCAACAGTGCTCTGAAGGGATATCTTACTTAGGTGACTCCTTGTTTTCAGACTAAAAAGAAACGAGATTAGAAATTAGATAATTGAAGGCCCTAGGTGGCTCAGTTAAGTGTCTATCTTCTGTTCAGGTCATGATCCCAGGATCCTGGGATGGAGCCCCACATTGGGCTCCCTGCTCAATGGAAAGCCTCCTTCTCTCTCTGCCTGCTGCTCTGCCTACTTGTGCACGCTCGCTCTCTCTCTGTGTCAAATAAATAAAAAAAATCTTAATTAAAAGATAATTGAAAAGGAGGCCATGAGGCACTAGAATGCATGACAAATGGATGAGGATACTCCTTCCGTGGGCACTTAAAGTTATTTTCAGGAGTGGAGTGTATTCTTATTCTGTGACAAAGGAGAGATTTGCAACTTAATGATTGTGCTGGTGAATTGCTCTGCTTTGGGATTTTTTTTTAATCAGCATAAGAGCAAGCAAACTGCAAAGACCGTTGATAATTTTTTAAATTTAAAAATGGCATACTGTTCTTAGAGAAATAAATGTATTTGTGGTTTAACCTGTATTCCCTACTAAAGTACTGTATATCACTTTCTTAGAGACTTCTGAGTCTGGTGTTAACTCTACACAGTCCGTACTAGAGGATTCTTGCACCGATGTTGGAACCAGACAGCCTAGGATCAGTTGTCAGTTCTACCACATTCTAGCTGAGAGACCTTGGGTTTCCTGAGTTTGTGCCTCAGTTTGCTCATCTATAGAGTGAGGGCAGTTGAAACACCTATGTCTTGGGATTATTTTGAGGAGTAAATACATGTAATAAGCTTAGAACAGAGCCTGGCACATAATAAGTATTAGAAATCACCAATGTTCTTATTGAAGATTTGAGTTTCTACAGAGCCATCCTTGGAACAGGATCTTAAAGTAGAAGAGTTAATGATGATGAGGGGAAAATGTTTTATGTTTTATGGAAGCTCCAGTTTGACTCTTGGCTTCTTAAATTTATTTCCTGAACAAATAGAGGAAAGAAGAGTCATGACTAAAACAGCACCAGTTATCAAAAAATCAGGTCTCTGGAATGCAGTGAGAATGCAGAGAGAAAACTGGACTTTAGAAACAGGTTATTGGAATGAAGTGTGCTAGCTGCAGGAACATAAAGATTTGGTTTGTTCTCTTGGGAAAAATAACCAAAGAACTTTTCAGCTACAGCTGTTGAAGTGAGACTGAACCATAGACTTAAGGTTAGATCATGTTTTATAGCTGTTACACCTTACTGTTCTCAGGTACACCCTCTAATATCCTAGTTTTCTCCAGTTCCTAACTCTTCCCAAGAAGACCAAATTTGTCAGTACCCAGAACTCAGTTATGGTAAAATAGTGAGCAAAGCTCAGTTTTGATGTAAAAATAGAATAATATTCTCATAATCTATCTCACCCACCTAAAATGACAACTTTCATTAAGGAATTTAAAACACTAACGATAAAACCTTCATGTCTGGCCTTTTAATGAAAATCTGGTAGTCATGAGAAATACTGTTTCTCTAGTCGTGTTCAGGGTAGTACTACCAAATGTCATATGCAAGGAATTTGCATTTCTACTAGGGATTTTAGCCCTATAACCACAATACAACCAACGGGATAAACTATAACAATTTTATGAAAAGCATTTCTGGGCTTTCAAGAAAATAAGGAAAATCTTCAAGATCTACCAGTCCCTTTCCCAGAAAAAGAAAAAGATAAATTTCCCAGCACTGATAAACAAGTGACACCTACATCTTTGGGTACACATGCGAATAATAGCCCTGGAATTTGACTACTCACTCTTGAGCAATCCTACTGCAGGACAGGAAGACAACCTGAAAATTCTGTATGAAATGGACCCTTGAACAGAACTAAAATTGTCTCTAGTAAGCCTTGTAATTTCCAGCAGCAGGAAATGCAAATTCTCTCTGAAGAAAGCAATCCTAATTTAGATCCTCAGATTGTCCACCTGAAAATTCAAAAGCTAATTATAAGGAAAATGGTACATCATAACAGAAAAAAAAAAAAATCCCCAAGGTTTTGAGATACTGAAATGATCAAAAACAGTGTATAATAAGTACATATGGAGACTTTGACTTCTGGAAAGATGGAGTAGACCTACTCTTCCTTATTCCTTCTGTTAACTATAACTAAAATCCCTGAACATTATGTATAAAACACGACTCTGAAAAGGGATTAAAAGCAGACTAGCCGGGGACAAGAAACAACATGGTACTGAATTCCCTGGGTTTTCTCTTGCCTCCTACATCTCGGACTTGTATCTGAGGAAGCCAGCAATCTGAAAGCACCAATGAGCACAGACAAGGAAAACCTACTCTGTAATAAAAGGACTAGGAAATGGACACTTTAGCAAGACAAAACTTACAGAGAATAAGTTTTCCCCACCCAAATACCACAAAGAAAAATTATGGACCTCCTCCCACCACCTTGCCCCTACATCTACCCATACTAGGAAAGGTCAAGAGGGGAGCCTAGACTTCCAGCCTCATTAGGCTGTAGCAGGGCATCCTAACACTGTCCCCTGCCACAACTGTCAGTGCAGTGTCAGAACAGGCTGAGTAAGGAGCCACCCAACAGTAATCAGCCCTGTCTCTCCCCTGCTCCCCATAGTGTCAGTGGAAACCATGCAAGGACCCTGGGTTTAAACTGCCCATCAGTCATTAACAAAGTGCTTCCCCCTCTGCTGGGGTGGTGTCAGAGGTCAAGTCGTAAGTCAGACTTAATATCACCACCCAGTGGTAAAAATGTCACCCTTCCCTGTTATATCAGTGAACACCATATAGTGGGCAGTGATAAGGCTTTCCTACTCCTCCTAGGAACGGGGAAAGTACCAGTGGAGACTTCCGGGGGAGGGGGGGTTGGAACTCCCACCTACACCCAAGTTCCTTGGCAGTAGCTGAGTGGAAACCTGAACTTCTACCCCATTTAGTAATATCAAGGCAATGACCCTTGCTACCTTCTGCTGGAGTGGTTTCAGGTTAAGCTAAAGTAGATTTTAGTAAGATCCAGAGGCTTGAAATTTCCAGAATGTCCAGGTTTTAATTGAAAATCACTTAATTCCAAGATCCAGGAAGATCTCAAATGAGAAAAGATCATCAGTAGATGCCAAAATAATTAGATTATGTTAGAAGAAATAAGCAGTGAACTGGAAGAAAGAACAATAGAAATTGTTCTACCTAGCCGAGAAAAAACAGACTAAAAAAAAAAAAAAATTAACAGACTCAAGGACCTGTGGGGCTATAATAGAAGATCTTACATTTGTGTCATGGGAGTCTCAGAAGGAGAGAAGAACTAGAGAAAAGGGGAAAAAAGGAGAAAGGGCAGGCTGAAAAAGTACCCAATGAAGTAATGGTTTAAATGTTCTAACTTTGGCAAAAAACAAACCTATAGATTCAAGAAGTGGAGTGAAGCCATGACAGTTTCATGTGGTTTAACCTAACACACCTAACTCCCAGGTTTGTGGGTGGAATTAGCAATAGGGTACATAAAATGCCAAGCACAGTGCCTGGTATACAGCTCTTGCCTAGTAAGCTGTAGTTAATGTTAGGAGGAGGAGCTGAGTGAACCCCAAACAAGCCCAAAGAAATCCACACCAGACACTTTATAATCAAACTTGTAAAATCCAACGACAAAAGTTCTTGAGAGTAGCGAATGAGAGATGACATTTCACGTGATTGCAGGAGAAACAATTTAAATGACACCAGATTTCTCATCAGAAACCATGAAAGCCAAAAGAAAGTGGCACATTTTTCAAGTGCTTGAAGAAAACTCTCAAATCAGACTCCAGTGAAAATAGCCTGTGAGACTAAAGGGGAAAATCAAGACATTCTCAGATGAAGGAAAACTAGAAAAATTTGTTGCTAGCAGACCTACCCTAAAGGAATGGCTGAAGAAAGTTTTCTAGACAGGAAGAAATAAAGGAACTGGAACATCAGAAAGGAAAGAGTAACATGGTAAGCAAATACATGGGTAAATACAATAGACTCTCCTCCTGAATTTCTGAAATAATGGTTGAAGCAAAAATTATAACATTGTGTTTCTAAATATATGTAGAAGTAATATTTAATTATAAAAGGATTGGTAAAAATGATGACACCAATAGACTGAAAAATTATATGTATATATTGTAATAGCTAAAGAAACAGCTTAAGAAAGCTATATGAACAAATACACTTAAAAAAAACTATAGGGGGTACCTGGGTGGCTCAGTCAGTTAAGCATCCAACTCTTGATTTTAGCTCAGGTCATGATCTCAGGATTGTGAGATCAAGGCCCACTTTGGGCTCCATGCTAGGTAGAGGGGAGGGGTTAGTGGGACGGGTGAGCCCTGTGATAGGTATTAAGGAGGGCACATAGTGCATGGAGCACTGGGTGTTATACACAATAAATCATGGAATGCTACATCAAAAACTAATGATGTACTATATGGTGACTAACAACATAATAAAAAAATAAAAATAAATACTAACACTCTAAAAAAAAGAAGTTACAATTATAGAAATATTTATATATATATATATATATTAGGTACACACATTTAGAGTAACTGCAGAATTTTCAAGATGATACAAATGATAAATATACAAATGTACCTTAGCACAGCAGTACATGATTCTGTCTTTGCTGCCCATCATCACCAGGTTATTAAAATCAGTTAAACCTTAAAAAAAAACAAAAACAAAACAAAAAAAAAAAACTTCTCTCTTCCTCTACCCCTCCGCACTTCTAAAAAACAAACCCACTACAGATAAATAAAAATGGAATTCAAAAAAATGTTAAAGTAACCTATAGAAACTTATTTTTAAAAACAGAGAAATGAAAACCAGACAAAACCAAAAGTAACATGGCACACTTAAACCTTAACATATCAATAATTACACTCAATGTAAATTATCTCATTAGACCAATTAAAAACAGAAATTGGCAGAGTGGATTAAGAATATGATCCAACCTGATCAATATGATCCAGTAAGTTTGGATCATATCAACTCAGGGTGCCTGAGTGCACAGTCGGTTAAGCATCCGACTCTTGGTCATGATCTCAGGATCTTAAAATTGAGGCTTGTGTCAAGCTCC